CCAGGTGCATATAATCTAGTGGCACATTTGTAACTAAGCCTAGATTTGGTATATTTTTTAAAATTGTGTCACCAGTTTGATAATCAAGATTATAAGATCCAGTAAAAAATTCTTTATCATTACGTAACATCATATTAGATGTGTATGGAAAACATATATGTCCTTCTATATTATCACCTTCAATAATGCATTTAGTGCAACTATTATATCCAGTGTGTCCTTTTACATTTAAAATAAATGATTTAGCAGGAGCGTCACAAATTATTGCTTTAATTTCGACTTTTATGATCTGTCCCTCATAATCAATCCCATTATTTATAAAAGCAATAGCATCACCTACAAACATTTTTAAAAACTCATTTGCATTTTTTGGTTTTCCTTCACCATAATATAAGGCAATGACATATACATTGTTTATAATATTATCTGCACATAATATTGGCCATAAACTCTTTGTGGAAGACTTATATATAGGTAAACCATCAATATTTATAAATAATTGAATGTTATCAAGAGCAAAATTCAATCTTTTACGTTCTTCAATAATTTTTAGAAGAGCTTTTTCGAGACCTAAGTGGCAGTAATCTCCGTTTTCAATTTGTATAATTTCAGTTGATTTAGGAGTTTGCAATAATGTACGTGGATCTTTAGGCAAAGTATAATTAGTGTGTGTTTGCAATATCTGTAAAAGGTGACGGAGTGATTTGAGTGATATCTTTTCTTCAATAGCCCATTTACTTATGTCATGTATAAAAGTTTCGTTATCATTTAAACACAGATTTTCATAATTGTTATCGACTATAGCTTGCAGCTTATTTGCATCCGTGTAATTTTGTATCATACAGGCATTATTTTCATTCAGAAAGTTAATATTATTTTCATCATAATATTGATTTAGATTTCTATCTGAGTATACTTTATCAGAATCACATAAAGACGAAGCATTCTCATCAACAACAATTAGTTGATCATTATTATTATTAATTATTGCCATAGAATCCGCAGAATCAGTCTGATGAGTTATCATATTCATATCTGTTACTGTGTTTCTTGCAACTAATCTTCGTTTATGTCTTGCACTATAAAATATTGAGTGTTTTCGTTTGCGACCCATATTTTTCACAAAATATATTTTTTTTCCTAAATATACATATACAATGAAAAAAAGATATCTTGTTACAATAAATATGAAAAAAATATAAGACAAACATAAGATAAAAAATATTGTATATACTAGCCTTAATTTTTATGTTGATGTTTTTCACTTTGTTAAATCACTTCTTATTGCTAAGTGATCTTCTGAGATCACTTATTTTGAGTCAAAATGTCCTCTTATGCAAATAAAAAACACGTGCTGGTACACCAACAGACTGCGTATACGCTGCAGAGCGTTTTGGGCAACGTGTACGCGCCTACACGGTCACGCTTGCATTAGGATTAGGTAAGATTAGGTTACATTAAGTAGCGTCCATTAACGGTGACGTGTTGATTCTTTTACTTTTAGAACAAATCAACGTCAAGTCTTGACAAGATGACAATTAGCAGTCATTCTGCTGAACGCGACTATTTTAAAGAAAATTATTTCAAATAAAAGTTGTTTGATTCAAAGGAGGTCATAAAGTAGATGATGCCCTTTATTTGATGAATATTTTAAGAGATATTTGAAGTGGTGTACGTGTTATTTTAAATTGGACACCCTAATATATATTTAGTTATAGCAGTAATAAATATAAATAAATAAATATAAATTATTTATTAAATATATCATAAATTAAACTTTATTTTTCTAATTTTAATTGTTGATCGTCACAGCACAACATCTTTATGATGTCACTGTGACATTTTCTTGCTATGACAGATTTTTTATCATTATTGTTACATTTCGTGATATACTAGTTATATCAATGTGACATTTTTGATGATATCACTGTAACATCATAAAGATGTTGTGCTGTGACGATTAAATATATATTTTATCGTCACAGCAGAACATCTTTATGATGTCACTGTGACATTTTCTTGCTATGACAGATTTTTTTATCCTTATTGTTACATTTCGTGATATACTAGTTATATCAATGTGACATTTTACAATGATATCACTTCAATTGTGATTAATGATATCACTGTTACCTTCCAATAATCTCACAATGACATCACAGTGACATTACATTTTTTTGTCACCTTGTGACTCTATTGTGAGCTTATTGTGATGTCACTGTGACATTTTTTGCTATGGGGGATATAATTAACTTATAAGATACATAATAACACAAATCGCTAACACAACTAATATGGTCAGTGCTGTTAATGTGGGCAATAAGAAGTTTTAGTAATATATATAAGTTATCATCTAATTGCATTCATTTATCGCTAAATAATTTTAATACAAGCCAACATTTTAATATAAAAATATTAATTTCTCTTTGATTTTAACGTAAAAATAAAAAATTCATGAATACACTAAATACACAAGTAACTATTATTGTGATACTTAAAAAATGATAAAACTTATTGACGTTGTTGCTTTGCCTGTAAAAAATAAAAGTAATAATAAATATGTTGTTATATCGAAAACTAAAATATACAAGTAAAACGTAAAACATACTAGTTCTCTGTCGTAGCGCGTTTTTGAGTGCCTTAACCAAGCTGACACATAGTTCTGAAATTGTTTATCTGTCAAAAATGGAAAGTGTTTTCTAGTCGATCCTACAAATGTAACAAAAAAAAAGTTAATATAGTACCGGTACAATTATTATGCTATTAAAAGCATTAATTTTTTATAATTATATATTTTTACATTTCTATATACGTTTTAAAATGTCCATAATTATTAGTGTGTTCACTTCGAAGTTGCCTTTGCGACCCATCCAAGAACATTTTGTACCCAATTTATTAGTAAATATTTTTTCTAGTCCAGCTTTTATTTGATCGTGGGGAGAAGTGCCTCCTAATAAATAGACAAATGTTTCCTACGAAAAAAATGTAAATACATATATATATATATATACAATTGTTCGAGCCTTTTCTGGTAAATATTGAGCATCCTTTTTGTCTATTTTAATTTCAATTAAAGTCAGTTAGTCAGAAGGAAAAAGGGTTAAATATATATTTTTTAAAAATAGATATCAGTAGTTTTGGCATATTCAACAATGGTACAATGAAATTATAATGAATGTTATAAAATAATCCTAGTTTAATCAAGCTTGAACAATCAAAATTGCTTTTGAAAGCAATTTCTTTCTAACCATTTACATTATTTTACCAGCTCGAACCTTGAATTTTGTCTCAAATATTCAAAAAACAAGAAATAAGAAATGTAGACTATTTTTACCATTTGTTTTTGTCCTTCCTCATTAGTTTTTAATGCGATGTCGAAATCAAGTAATTTTGTAAATTTCTTGAAAGGTTTGTTCGGAATAAGAGAAAAAGTACTACTACAGCTTGAACCAGATGCTGAGAGCAGTGGAAGCGAATTATTTGTACGCTCTAATTGCTTTAAAAATGCATTTTGTTGTTCCAATAATTTTTTAATCGCAATCGTGTTTTGCAGGATTGAAACAATATTCTGAAATATAAATTTACAAATTATATTACTATAAACAAAAGAACAATAAATATGAATGATTACCTGCTGGAAAATTTTCAAAAATGATATCGGTTGGTATCATATTATTTACTGGATTAACAGCATCTTTAGGATCTAAATAATGGAAATTTTTAGTATCATTATTGTATTTATTTAATATTAAATTAATAAATTAATAGACACTATATATATATTAAGCGGGATTACTTAAAATCGACTTGTATTGTTTAATACCTTATTGTACCAAAAATTATTTGTTTATATTCATCTTCATCAGAAGTTACATTCTTCAGAATATTATTTTTTTATTTTGACTCACGTTTATTGCTGTTTCATCCATATTTTCGATATCCTTGTCCAAGTTTTGGTTATTCATTAATCAAATCTAAATGTTAAAAAATTACACTTTAAGCATTACTTTATTTGCAAGTTAAAAAAAATGTTAAAGATTTATTAAAAATTAATATATTTAAATTATACCATTGTCAACTATTAAATGCAAATCCATGACAGTCATTAAAGATGGTGTCATTCGCGGATTTGAATTCATCATTTAAGTTGTTTGCTTAACTGGTTAATGTTTTCTTTTTTCTTTTCCCTCGGCTAATTGCGAACATGATGTATCTGATGTATCGGTTCGAATTATTTTATGTACAACATCTATAGCTTCCTTATATGAATCTGTAATTACAAATTATTTTATTAATTGTTATATATATTATACATTTTATTATATATTTATATAAACTTTTCCAATATTCTATTGGATATATTATACTATCAATTAATTGTTTTTAAAATTTCTTTTATTAAGAATTTATTTTTTTCCCATTTTAACTTTTATTTTGTTTTGGTGGTTTGGTATTAAGTTCTCTTCTGATGAAAATAAGTTAAAATTTTTTCCTATACATTTTTTTATATTATTTTTATTCATAATTTAATCGGTAAATTCATCAATTGTGCTTTTGAGCGTTCTTTGAATAGTTCTCTTGAAAAGTTAAATATAATTTTGTTTTATTTTGCATTATTTCATGTAATCAAATGTATCAAAATTAAAATACATTTATTTTAGTTGTAATAAAAAAGGCTATATTATATCTTTCGTGGCAAAAATGCGTTTATAATAATTATAATTTTCATTGATGATAGAAGGATCAATAAGAATCAAAATATACTAATAAAAAGTAAATATCTATTATAAACATTTGCGTATTATTCCGCGAAAAATTCTCATATAGCTCGCTTTACTAAATCAGTGATATTTTATTTAATGCAGGATTCACACTGCGTCTGATATCAAACATACATCCGATATCAGACGCAGTGTAAATATATCCTACATGAATTTTCTTTTTAATCTAACATTTATTTTAAAATTTTGTATTATAAAAACTTACCAAACGTAAATTTCTGAAGTTTCTTATTTTGTAGCTAGGCCAACATGTATTTAAAGATTCATGCTTCCTTATTGCACTCGTTATTTTGTCTCTTGAGTATGTAGGCCAATAGCAAAACTGCCCTTGAATCCATGTTGAGGGTACCGCTTCCACAGAACAATCTTGTTCAAACTGTATTACAGTCCATGTTTGTTCACACATTTTCTACATGAACAACTAAAAAACCAAAACACACAATACTAAGAAAAACAGACTCGTAATCAAGAATAGTGTAGGCAATGCAAAACATTTAATTTCAATTTTGAAATACAAAACACAATTTGTTAATAGTTATAAAATAAAATTTTAAAAATAAAATCTTTAAAATCAATTAAAAACTATTTTACATAAATAATGAGAAATTTTCTGCTATAACAATAGTAGCAATTGTTGATAATACATTAATAATTGATATATTAATAACATTAATTGATGTTTGAATGTATTAATGGAAATACTACTTGTTTTTCCTCCCAATTTAATATTACACATTTAAATGAAATATCTGCTACATTAAATATTTCAAGAGCACCAATATTATCAACAGAACAGATTCCAATCTCTTTTGATTCGCAGGGACTTGTATAGAAATTTTCTACAATCAAAAATTTTCTGCCAATTAACTTAAAGTCATTATTCCAATGCACAATATTTTCAATTAAAATTATGTCTCCATTGATAAGAGTACAACAATTATTAGGATGATCTATACGCAACACAAAATCTTGTAAAATGATTTTTTTAAATTGTTTACAAATGTTAAGATTAAGAATTGGACCATCAAAATGTTTTTTTTCATAAATAGGATATTTTTTCTTAGTCTTTTCTATTTGAACTTGATGGAAATTTTGTTCGCTTTTCCTTTTAATTATTTGAGCTAACGGTTTTTCACCTTTACGAATAGATTTTAAAATAGTTTGCAAATAATTTTCAAATGGGAAAGCGCTGAAATTGTCTAATGGGCCATGAATTTTTACATCTTCAGAAAGATGCAACAAATTATGAATATTATGAGATGTATTTTCTTTGCCGTATAAAATTTTAAATGTGTTCACAAAATATGAAAGAAGATTAGAAGCGTAATCAATAAATAATGAATACTTAGAAGACGTTAATATAATTATTGCAACATGTAAACAAAGAAAATTTGTATATCTATCATTATTTAATTTTTTCTAAGTACAACAGGGCCAGTGTAAAACAAAAATTGTCTAAATTCGGTAGCTTTCCATCTTTTTGCTTCAAATAATGATCGAGGTTTACGGTTAAATTCTATTGGCATATTTTTAGCTTGATTAATTAAATTAGAAGATATATTTGCAATATTCTGATGTGATAATTTTACGGAAGGTTTTCCAAAACACCATAAATTTACTACTAGTTTTTTTACGACTCCAAGACAAATTAAATGCATATAATCTAATGGGAAAGCTTTAATCATATCAAGACTAGGAATCTGTTCTAATATGCTAGTGCCATTATGATGCTCTTCTTGGACTTTTGATCTATAACAAGTATCTGTTCTTAAACGTAAATGATTTGTATTAGGAAAGCAGACACGATTATTAATATAAGTACCTTCCTCATACATTTAGTACATGAATAATAACCCATATGACCAACTGTATAGGTAATATAAGCTTTCGCTACTGCATCACATACAAAATAAGATATTTTGACAGAATAATGTTTAGTATCGATAATAATTCCATTATTAATAACATTTGATACATCCTCAACAAAATCGTTTAAATAGCTGTTAGCGTTTTTAGGTTTTTCATAACCATGATAAATGCCAATTATATCTACATTACTATGATATTTGACAAGCCGACATAAAATGGGATAAACTTGACTTCCAGAACTTTTTGATAAAGGCAGACCATCTATATTAATTGCAAGTTCTATAATTTCAGTATTTTTAAAAAAATCAGTTGAGTAATTTATAAGATTTTTAATACAATTCTCTACACCAAAATGATAATATTGTCCAGGTTCAATAACTTTACTTACAACGGTACGACAAGTTTTCAAAAGACTTCGAGCATCAGTGGGTAATTCAGGTATACGAACTTTTAACATTTTTAATAAATCACTTAATGCTGCATGTGAAATATTATGCGTCAATGACCACTGGATAAATTTTAATTGTATGTTCTCTTCTGGATTATTTTTTTACTATTGTCATGAGGAAAATACTTATGTACATCAAGATCGACTGAATCTGAGGGTGAGTGGAAGGAAGGTGGAAAGTTTTCATTTGATTGATCGGATTCATAAATAGACTCATGTAAAAACAAATCTGATTCTAAATAATTGTTATTTTCTAAAAGTTCTAATTGTGCGTCATTAGTGGAGATATTTATATTTGGTAAGATACTTATATTTAGTGGTTCAGAGAATCTTTCTGTAGTTATGTTAGGAAGATTAGGCTCAGGATCAGGTTCAGGATCGGACTCAGAATCAAGCTCAGGATTAGAAAAGACTTCTTCTTGAAAACGCATTCTCTTTGCTCTCATATAATGCTTCTTAATTTCAGACATTATGAAAGTCTTCAGATGAAAAAATAAAAGTTGATTGAATAAAAGATTCACAAAACCAAATATAATATCCAAATTTATATAAAAAATTATTTTACGGTTAATTTTGTAATTTCTAATTAAATTTAATACAACCAAAACATTTTTAAGTTTTAAAATTTAAAATTTTGTCTACTAATGAAATAAAAGATACTTGTTACAAATTACTTCTCTCAAATTTTAATCAAAATAATATTTATGAGGTATTTTTGTTTGTAGAAAAATTAAATTGTAGAAAAACTAAATTCACTAAAGTCGCTCAACAATAGAAAAAGTTATAAAATATACAATTAAGCTTTTATTATTTTAATATTAGAAAATTTGTCATCTTGATATAGTATAAACAATGTATGTGTATAGTGGAAGTAAAGAAATAATGTTACGCAACATTAAACATCTAACACATTTTATTTAGTCTTTAAGTCATCGATACTCAAGTTGGTATTCAGCATTGAATGTAAGATAAAATATAATTATATATATAACAAACATATAATTATATTTTACTTTACATTCAATGTTGAGTATCAATTTGAGTATCGATGACTTCCAGACAAAATGAAATGTGTTAGATGTTAAACGTGGTGTAATATTATTTCTTTACTTCCACTATATGCATAACAGATAATTGGAAATTATATCTTACCTTATCTTCAATATTGAGTGCCAATGTGAAATGTCGACTTTCCCGAACACAATGATGTGTTAGATGTTTAATGTTATGTAAAGTCTGTTTATTCCTCTGCTTCCACTGTATACATAACAGATACTCTGAAATATAAAATTTGATTAAATTGCAAGAAAAAGATGTGATAGAAAAATGTATGTGTATAGTGGAAGTAAAGAAATAATGTTATGCAACATTAAACATCTAACACATTTTATTTAGTCTTGAAGTCATCGATACTCAAATTGGTACTCAACATTGAATGTGAGGTAAAATATAATTATATATATAATAAATATATAATTATATTTTACTTTACATTCAATGTTGAGTATCGACTTGAGTATCGATGACTTCAAGACTAAATAAAATGTGTTAGATGTTTAACGGTGCGTAACATTATTTCTTTACGTCCACTATACACATACATTTTTTTATATTAAAGATCATATTAAAATCTTAATAAAGAAATAGTAAAATTATAATTAGCCATAAATTTTATAGGTACAAGGTACATAGAGGAAGTTATAACTTTGTTTTAATGGACTAAATTCACAATTAGCATAATTTTCGTAAAAATCAACGTAATAATTATTAAAAACAATTAAAGAAGTCTAATAATGCTATTCTGAATATTATATGAAATTATGTGCCTTAAGTTTAATTATATTTTTTATTTTATTTGGAATTTTGTCACCTTAACCTTATTACTATTTTTCGGAAGGCTGCAAATTTACAAGAACCAACAAATACAAGGAAAATATTATGAAAAGTACACGAATAAATATGTAAGCTAATTTATTTGCAAGATCGGATCTTCGGTGCCAGGATTCGGAAGAAGGGAGACTCAGATTTACAATGACAAACGGTTGCTCTGGTAAAAGTAGAGTTTATTTATTCAAACCATTATACATATAATCGGCGAAACGCGATGATACAGACGCGTACACGACTTATTGTAGGATTGCAGATAGAAAATTACGACGAGACGACCAGATATATTTATTGCTAGGATTGACTGATAAAATATTACGGATTATACGGACGCGACACGACTTATTGCTAGAGTTTCCAACGCGGACACGCGTAGGGCGTAGAGAACTCCGTCGACTTTCAGTAGGACCCGGTGACAGGACGCTCGGCCTGCACGACGAGAACGCTCGTCGGCCGGGATTTACGTATCGGCCTGCACGACGATATTTACGGACAGGACCCGGTCGAGGACGCTCGGCCTGCACGACGACGCTCGTCGGCCGGTGATTACGAACAGGACCCGGTGACCGAGAACGCTCGGCCTGCAACGAGAACGCTCGTCGGCCGGGGTGATTTACGGGACCCGGTGACCGAGGACGCTCGGCCTGCACGACGAGAACGCTCGTCGGCCGGGGTGAGGATACCGAGAACGCTCGGCCTGCAACGAGAACGAGTTACGTGAGAACGCTGAGAACGCTATTTCGGACAGTCGTGCACGCGAGAACGCTCGTCGGCCGGGGTGAGTTACGGACAGGACCCGGTACCGAGAACGTTGCACGACGAGAACGCTCGTCGGCCGGGTGAAAGTTGAAGTGATCCCTGAGTACGCTCGAGGGACCAGTGGTGTCGAAGTCTCGGCTGCGCCGCTCTTTATACCCGTCGTCTAAGACTAGCTTGTCGAAAAAGCGGATTCCCAACGTATTCGTGTAAAGGGGCCGTTTTGACTAGTGACGGCTAATCGGTCGTCACATAATAACTTTATAGAGTTGATTTATGAATTTAATAATGAAATAAATAAGGATTACCTTCGAGTATGTATGCACAGCTTTCGTAGCGAAGCCAAGGCGGGAAGGACGAAATTTGAATATCACAGTCACGTAATACGTTTAAAAACATTCTCACACGATATCACTGTCATAAATTTTGGCTGTGTTTCATTCACTGTCAATACGCTAAAATTTATAAATATATACGTAACGTATAAACTTCGATTGTGTAACTTTTTCCAAAGTGAAAAGGTGAAAAGTGAAAAATTTCTTCCAATCACACATTAATTTTATTTAAAATCAATGCGTGATTGCCGAAAATTTTTTACTTTAAAAAAAGTTACACAATTGATACCCAACACTAACTTTAATTTCAGAACACACAGCCTTTATAACAGACTCTATATATGATCGAAGTATATCGAAGACGTTCAGAGAACATCCAAAGGATATTCTAGATATTCTCTGAACGTCTTTGGAACATGTATGCTGAGTTATATTGCGTATATATGAAAAAAAATTATTTCATCTACGCATAACTACGATCCGTTATATTGCGTTTACTATTTCCTTATGTTATATAATATTTATATTCTGTTTGCTGAAAAAAAGGGTTTATAACTATTTTACACAAAATTATTTTTATCGATAAGAATTCTTTACATATATGCATAAAATAAACATTTTTAAAACGTCCAAATATAAATATACTTTGAACATCCAATAATGGATATTCTTAAAACGTTCGTATTAAGTCCATGGACGTTTGTACCAAATAAAACCAAAACTGGACGTCCACTGGACATTGTGTGCTGTCTGGGTTATTAGTTACTTTTTTTGGAAACATGCGCTAAAAGTATTGTTTAAGTATGGTAGCCGTTATATTATTAAATTAAATTTTGATAACAGTAGCATATGGATCTTCATATGATTTAATCTTTTACCTAAAATTTTCATTTTGTGTACATAAAATAATATAACACATAATTAAGATCGACCAATCACAGTCAAATATTTAAAAAAATTCTTAAAGGTAATAATTGATCGATTTGCTTGCGACTTTGCGATTACCATTTAGTAACTTACTATAACTATTTTTACTGTTGTATATAAAGATCATTCATACATTGATGTTAATTGCAAAGTCGCAAGCAAATCGATCAATATTACATTCAAGAATTTTTTTAAATACTTGACTGTAATTGTGCATAAAATGTAAGCTCCTTATATTTAAAACAATGTATAATTATTTTTAAAAAGTAACTGAAAAGTAACGACTCGTTACTTTTAGAGTAACTGTAACTGTAACGAGTTATTTTTTAAAATCGGTAACTTGTAACTGTAACTAGTTATTTTTTCAATGAAATAACTGTAACTGTAACTAGTTACTTTTACAAAGTAACTTTCCCAACCCTGATGTATACATATATTAATTAATGTATATGGAGCATTTCAAAGTGTTTAATTGATCAATCAAAATATAAATGAATAAAAATTTCTTTATTCTGATACATGTTTTAAAGCATTTGCAATGTTTTCCTGATCGCAATCAAAGTTTCGAGATAGATGTTTAAAGCGCATTATTTTCATTATGAATTTTTTTATAAAAAAGATTCAAATATAATTTCATGATTCTTTAATTTCGACTTATTTTGACTTCATCATTTCACTCTCCAAAGATAGGATGCGACTTCTGTGTGTGATATATTCTGTATATACACATTTCGTTACTAATCATCATTTTTAAGGACGTTTCGTAGTCAAAGGGCTATAATACAAAAACAGCGCTAAGTATTTTTTGTACATTACATTTTTTTTACTTTTATTTTTACTTTTATTTTTTAATTTAAATTAAAATTTTTATTTAACTTTAAATTTTTTTAATTTCCTAAATTTAATTCTTTGTGCCTTATATTACCTTTTTTGAATATACGTTTAAATATATTTGAATTAAATAATTATTTAGAGATAAATAATTTATTTTTTATATATATCTATTTATCTAAATATTTTATAAAAATATATAATAACTTTACAATGTATATACATTCCAGTTTAAATTAATTACATAATTATTCATGTTATTTAAATATAAAGATGAATAATATATATATATATATATTTTTACTGAATTTATTTTGTTATTGTATATATTATAAACGTTTTAAAATAAAGCAATAATTATACATTTGTATCATTATAAGAAATTTATCTAAATATTATATATTATGTTGTCACTTACTTAGTGCAACTTTTTGATTTGACTACTTTTTGATGCTAATATTTTAACCTTTTTTCTCGTATTATCAATATAATTATTTAGCGCAATTTTTTGATTTCACTACTTTTTGATGCTAATATTTTAATTTTTTTCTAGTATTATTAACAAAAATAAAATATAATTTATAAATATAATTTTTGAGAAAATATTTTTGATAATGATTAATTTTTGCAAAGAATTATTTTGGCTATAAACATAATTTTTGAGAAGATTATATTTTTTATTATTATAAAGAACTATTTTTGCTGACGAAAGATATAACTTAGCGCTTTTTTTTTACATCTGTGATGTCTTTTTTTGTGGGATTTCACATATTTTTGCAAAGATCATTAAACAAAATGCATTAAATAAATGTATATTTTTTTATATTTATAATGAGAGAAGACGAGAGAGAGCAAGAGGACCCAAGAGAGAGAGCGGGAGAGAGCAAGAGGGAGCAAGAGGGAGCAAGAGAGAGCGAGAGAAAGCGGGAGAGAGCAAGAGAGAGCGAGAGAGAGCGAGAGAGAGCGATAGAGAGCGATAGAAAGCGGGAGAGAGCGAGAGAGAGCGATAGAGAGCGATAGAAAGCGGGAGAGAGCGAGAGAGAGCGGAAAAAAACGAGAGAGAGCGAAAGAGAACGAGAGAGAGCGGGAGAGAACAAAAGAAGGCGAGAAACAGCGAGAGAAAGCGAGAAAGAGCGAGAAAAACCGAGAAAGAGCGAGAGAAGACGAGAGAGAGCAAGAGAACGCGAGAGAGAGCGGGAGAGAGCGAGAAAACGCGAGAGAGAGCGGGAGAGAGCGAGAGAACGCGAGAGAGAGCGGGAGAGAGCGAGAGAACGCGAGAGAGAGCGGGAGAAAGCGAGAGAACGCGAGCGAAAGCGGGAGAGAGCGAAAGAACGCGAGAGAGAGCGAAAGAAAGCGAGAGAGAGCGAGAGTAAGCGAAAAAACCCGAGAAAGAGCGAGAGAAGACGAGAGAGAGCGAGAGAGAGCGAGAGAAAGCGAGAGAAGGCGATAGAGAGCGAGAAAAAGCGATAGAGAGCGGGAGAAAGCGAGAGAGAGCGAAAGAGAGCGAGAGAGAGCGAGAGAGAACGAGAGAGAGCGGGAGAGGACGAGAGAAGGCGAGAAACAGCGAGAGAAAGCGAGAGAGAGCGGGAGAACGCGAGAGAGTGCGGGAGAGAGCGGGAAAGAGCAAGAGAGAGCGAGAGAGAGCGAGAGAGGGCGAGAGAGGGCGAGAGAGAGCGAGAGAACGGGAGAGAACGAGAGAAGGCGAGAAACAGCGTGAGAAAGCGAGAGAGAGCGAAAAAAACCGAGAGAGAGCGAGAGAAGACGAGAGAGAGCGAGAGAACGCGAGAGAGAGCGGCAGAGAGCAAGAGGGAGCGAGAGACAGCGAGAGAGGGCGAGAGAGAGCGAGAGAGAGCGATACAAAGCGGGAGAGAGCGAGAGAAAGCGAAAGAAAGCGAGAGAGAGCGGGAGAGAACGAGAGAGAGCGAGAAACAGCGAGAGAAAGCGAAAAAAACCGAGAGAGAGTGAGAGAAGACGAGAGGGAGCGAGAGAGAGCGAGAGAGGCCGAGAGAACGCGAGAGAGAGCGGGAGAGAGCGAGAGAGACCGGAAGAAAGCGAGAGAGCGAGAGAGAACGAGAGAAGGCGAGAAACAGCGAGAGAAAGTGAGAAAGAGCGAAAAAAACCGAGAGAGAGCGAGAGACGACGAGAGAGAGCGAGAGAACGCGAGAGAGAGTGGGAGAGAGCGAGAGAACGCGAGAGAGAGCGGCAGAGAGCGAGAGAACGCGAGAGAGCGGTAGAGAGCAAGAGAGAGCGAGAGACAGCGAGAGAAAGCGAGAGAGGGCGAGAGAGAGCGAAAAAAGACGTGGGAAAGCAAGAGAGAAAGGTGAAAGAGGGGGGAGAGAGAGGGAGAGAGAGGGGGAGAGAGAGAGAGAGAGAGTGAGAGAGAGCAAGAATTTATTTTTTGTTTGGTTGCTTAAAAGGTTAAGCAGCTGAGGAAAATGTCACTATACTAGGATGGGTGACCGCGGATAAGGTAAAGCAGCTTCGGACAGAATCACTTTGTCGGGATGGGTGATCGGGACAAGTACGACGCCGTATCTTAAAAAAAAGTGACACCTTTTCGACCAAAAAATAACTTGAAAAATTCATATCTCCGCAACCAATAGAGCTATCAAGTTCCTTAAGGTCTCATTTTACTCGGAAAAAATCGCGCTTTCGATTGATATGGTCATCTTTTGAAAAATATGTTTCCGTTCATGAAATATTTCAAATTTTTGTTTTCAAGGTTACGAAAATCGTGTTACGTCCGGTAAAGGATACACAGTAGCGTCCTACGGATAATTTTCGCTATTGTTTCGATATTTTCGCTATCTTTTCGATATCTTTCGATATTTTTTTTTTTTTTTTGTAGATTGTATTTTAATTTGACGAATAAAAGATATAACTTAGCGAGACGCTACCGCGTCTCCTGATATACTCGTACCTACTAAAAAATACCTAAACTATTATTTGCAATTATATTATATTTTATATTATTCTTGCATATGAATCAATGGCATGATGATAAAACCATCGTCGTAAGGAAATTTCACACATTTCCCTTTAATGTCGTGAATATTGACTGTGTACAAATCATATGACAAATGTTGTGTTTGCTGAATATTAAATAATTCTGAGGAACAAGGTGAACTGAAAAATGGTTTTGATTCAATGAATTTTCTTCCCTTTAAAAAGATTTCTGAAGTCTTGATTTCTTTATAAATACTTTCGACACAAAATACACAATTGTTTTTTAACATAACGC